AGGTCCATTTACCATTTACATTACCATACCACTACCTGTTGCACTACCCTCATTCCCACTGTAATAAAGTCTCTCTATGTGCACTACTTTGAAACACTCGAATTACACTGACATGTATAAAATGTATGTATGTATGTATGTGTATATATACACATAACTATATTCCTTATAAATATAGTTTAGTTTAGTAGTTTAGTTTTCCTTAAGTGCTACTTTTAGATTCACATGACTGTTTTCAGATTTGTCAGCTCTACCGTTAAAGTTTGGCCAAAAACAATAGTTGGTTAAGGTTGGAAAAGTTGTTAGAGTTGCAGTTTGGGTTAACATAAGCTACTTTGTCGTATGAAAACTGATATATTAGCTAATATTCACCAGCTATAATGTTTTCATAGTACATGTCAAACAATAGGAAAATTGTAGTAGAAATCCAAACACTAACCAAGCAGGTTAGCTTGTCATTTTTGTAGCTTGCTGACATAAACAAGTGCTGCCTGAAAGGTAGAAACTCTAAAGACCAATTGCATGTTTTGACAAATGATGAGGAGCAATAAAAACAATTTGTAATTAATAAGCTAAAGGTTGCAGAGCCTCTAATGTGGTCCTACAATGGGGTTATGTCCTGTATCCTTGCATTGTCCCTCTTCAACATTACCTTTCCTTTTAAACCTAGAAGGCCATAGAAGCTGGGAGCTTTGTGCTTAGCAGCAGTCTTTTGGGATCAGGTTCTGGTATGTAGAGAGCAGTTTGGATGAATCCCATTATTATTATTGTTAAAATATTTAGAAGTCTGTTTAAAACCAGACACTATACATACATAATCTAGTATTTCTATTTATTTATTTATTTTTTCTAAAAAATAATACATTTGAACTTGTTTTCAGTTGTCAATTATACAACAATTTGACATCCGTTACATTTGTCCAGACTAAGTAGGAAGCCAAACAAAAGCGAGAGAGAGAGAGAGAGAGAGAGAAATATTGCATGGCTTTGTTGATATCAGCTGTATCATTAATCATCTAATACTGCTCCGTAGGGAAACACATGCACACAGAACGGCGAGGTTGACGCACATACATTTGTAAACTAATTTGAAAATGATGACTTTGAAATTAAACTATTAACTGTTGCAGGTGCTTCCTTGCTTGCCTGGACTAAAAGGCAAACCGGTATTTCCAACAAACATAAAAATATAAATTACATAAACATTTTAAGAATTTGTCATAGATTAATAATTATCGTTAAATAAATATTAACAGGGAAGGAGAGGAGACTCGGAACGAAGGGAGGACCAGGTCCTGATGGGCCAAAACGATGTAAGGTAAGGTCAATGGGCGAGGTCGAAGTAGTGAGAGATCAGAATCTGTTGTCTGAGAGTGTGTGGGACGAGATGGTACAGAGGAAATGACTGGGTGCGCTGGTAATGCTGAGGCTAGAGTGAAATTATTATGCATGGGAGGATGGGTGGGAAAGCCCACGATTGGGTTATGTGGGGACCTGTGGAAAAAAAGGTGTGTTAAATGAAGAAAAAGAAACGCAAACACAAGCTACGTATAAAGAAACGGAAGGGAAAATTAGGGTTTTGGCTAGTAGCATCGCCATGGATTGTAGTTGTGGGCACGCTCTGTGCAGCTGAGAAGATCAGTGTTGGAATGGGAGGAGCGGAGGCAGCCAAAGAAGACAGGATGGGGAAGTTGTTCGTGAAGTCTGTGGTAAAGAAGAATATGGATGAGAAGCTGAAATGGCAGGTACTGGGTTCAATATGACCTGGCGCTCTGAGAGGGCTGAAGAGGAAGGCTGAGCCGTGTAATGCGCCGTGACGTCATCGGCGTAGTGTTGTAGTCGGTAGTTGCTAGATTTTTCTCCTCACCTGTCTGACTGCCCAAAACCTGCTAGTAATCAACTCATCAGCCCTGCAGTATATAAACACCTGGTTCTCCAGCCACTCTCTGCTGGGTGTTGTTGCTACATGCCTGGTAGTAACTTTCTTGGCCAGTTAGAGAACTTAAGAGAAGCTTTTTCCTGTTCGTGCTGTGAAACTTGTTTGTTTTTTCCCGTGCCTCAGGATCATCACCCTCACTTCAGCTACCTGCCCGCTCCTTATCAGCCACACTGCCTCCACCTTCAGTTCCACACTGCCTGGGTCTCAGCCATAATCTTCTCACCACTGCCAGCAGGAACCTCACGTCACCTTTTGATCAACTGGTTCTCAATAAAGCCTGTCTTTGGTAATCCTAACCACCGAGTCTGTGTTCTGCTTGTGGGTTCCTCTGTTTAACATAACATGTAGCTGCGGAAAACTTCATACATCAATGAGCCACACTGTTGCACCCAGTCTAAAATATTGCAGCTTGGTCAGTGGCTCTCCGCTTCAAAATATGACGCTATAAGTATCCATTTAGCATCATTTCTGGACATGCCCACCGTCGAAGTCAAGTAACATAGAATAAAGAGCGAAAAAGTTCACATATGGAGGTGGTGGCATGGATAGATGGCTCAAACAAAACACAGGACTTTAACCCAGGAGACTGCTGTTGGTGTCCTGTGTGAAACCAAAAGTAAACAATTACTTTTAAAGGTGTACAAGCGTACAATCACCTGAACATAGGAATCGTGTTTTTGTTACCTTAAAATAAGCCTTGAATGAATCGTTGGAGTCCGCCATGTTGAACCGCCATGTGTGTATAACACTAGCCCCGAACAGACAAACAAAACAATGGCTATAGATAGGGCCTTTCCCATTCTGCGGCCACCATAGTTTCTTTTACACACTTCACAGCTCGTTTTCATTCCCAGGTCATCAAATACAAACGCAAGCGTGTTTGGTTTAGTTGCAATCTGAAACTTCACTGCCAGATCTTACACACTGGTCCTTAAAAATTCAAAGGTTCCATCTCTTAAATGTGAATAGTTTCTGGTTTTCCTTATATGATAATTAACTGAGTATCTTTGAGATTTAGGCAGTTGGTAAGCAGGGTACCACCAGGGATCATTGCCCATGAAAAGATATAATGAGCCCCACAAACACAGGCCATGCCAACCCTGCGCAACAGCTGTAACTACACCTCCACCCCATGGACCCATTCAATAACTACTTCTGCAGGCTTGCAACTCTCTTGAGGACCAAGACTTACGATAGGAAAGTTTACTGACAGTAAGCTGTGAGAATATTTCACTGTGCAAATATGCATGCAAAATTCTGTATACAGTGGAATTAACTATTGTGTCTTCATCTTTTACAGTGCAAGTGTAATATTAATGGTAAAATTATTGAATGCAAATATCTAATGTTCTGGTAATGTTCCAATAATTTGGCCACTTTGGGTAGGAGAAAAATATATTTGAATGATGATGAAATGAAAATTAAAGATGTCATCTTGGGAACAGGTGGGAATTTTCACTAACTGCTCAAAATATATAGACCAATAATCAATCAATTAATTAATTAATTTTGCTGCAGTTGGCCTTTACACCAGTGTCTGTGATAAGAGAAAGAGGCTACAGAAATCTGCCTGCTTGTTTATTCTATTTTCAAGTCAGAATTCTGCTTAAGCCCTTCAGAGATATCCAGGAAAACACTGTATCCTCTCAAAGCTCTGCTTACCCTGTATCAGCCCAAATCTTTATTAAACAGCTCACATTGACACAAGAAAATGGAATGCATGCACTGTCAGGCTTCTGGTTACCAAGGGTGGCCTCAGAAACGTCTCCTCCAGAGTTTTTCCTTCAGCTGGCGTCTAGCGGAATGGCCGAATAAGGAGGCTCTGACAGGCAATTACTGTATTTAATATCTCTTGGCAGAAGGAAGGAGTCATTGTTTGGGTTTGAGCACAGTTAATCCCATGCAGGATCAACTGTGACAGCTGCTTTCTATCCACCATCCTCCAATTGTTATACCCCTAAAACCTCCTCCAGGCTCCTCCGCTAAGAGCTGAGAGCAGCCACAATCCAAATGAAAATGACACATGAATATTTTACCACCACACTGCTCTTTAGCAGGGTCAAAAACAACAACCTTGTTTGGAACATCATGTATAAATCATGAATCTGAAGTCTTCTGAATGCAGATTTGGGGTAATTATTCTTTGGTCACAATCTTTTACGGCCCGGGCTAATCTCCGCTCAGTGCTTAATGAGATCTACACATTGTTTCAAATCAACAGCAGAACAAATGGAAGAGCAATCCTCTACAAGTGGACAGGCCACGGCACAGCCTGGAGGAAACAGGGAAGGCAACCCAAATGGAGTTTTAATGTTTGCTCTATAATTAGATTAAACCAACATGAAATATACTGTTGCCTTAGGTGACTTGTTAATGTGTACAGAATTATATTTCAGATCAAATTACCAGCTCTGCTATCTAATCTGGACCAGAATTTGCACGTTCCTTTTTTAAATATGTATATTAATGAATAGGAGAGGACTAGAGAGGTGCATTAATATACATTTAACCATTACCCACAGTCCCAGTTTCCTGAACAGACACTTCAAGTTTTATACACCTTCAGCACACAGGGAATAATAATCTCAATCACTTTCTCCATATTCATGTTCAGAGGTTAAGCTGTGTAGGACTTGTAGGGAGGACCAGACAACATTTTAATGTTAATTCAATTCCATTCTTAAACACCCTCTACACCACTGACTTCTGCTTCAACTCTGGAG